CCCAGGACCAGATGGTTTCAGTGCAGAATTCTAACAGATTTTTAAATACCAATATTCTTGACTAATACCAATAGTCTTCAAATTGTTCCACACACTAGAAATGGAAGGAACATTACCAAATCCTTTTTATGAGGCTACAGTTATCCTGATACCCAAACCACACAAAGATGTAACAAAGAAAGAGAATTATAGACCAATCTCCCTCATGAACATTGATGCAAAAATACTCAATAAAATACTGACTAACTGAATGCAGGAACACATCAAAAAATTTATCCATCATGACCAAATAGGCTTCATCCCAGGGATGCAAGGATGGTTCAACATACAAAAATCTGTCAATGTAATATAACATATAAACAAACAATGAAAAAAATCACATGATCATCTCATTGGATGCTGAAAAAGCCCTTGACAAAAGCCAACACCCCTTCATGATAAAGATTCTAGAGAGATCAGGAATACAAGAAACATACCTAAGCATAATAAAGGCAATTTACAGCAAGCTGACAGCCAACATCAAATTAAATGAAGAGAAACTCAAAGCAATTCCACTAAAATCAGGAACAAGGCAAGGCTATTCATTCTCCCCATACTTATTCACCATAGTACTTGAAGTTCTAGCTAGAGCAATAAGACAACAAAAGGAGATCAAGGGGATACAAATTGGAAAGGAAAAAGTCAAACTTTCATTATTTGCAGACGATATGTTAGTATACATAAGTGACCTCAAAAATTCTACCAGGGAACTCTTACATCTGATAAACTCCTTCAGGAAGGTGGCAGAATACAAGATTAACTCAAAAAAATCAGTAGCCCTCCTATATACAAGTGATAATTGGGCTGAGAAAGAAATCAGAGAAACATCACCATTTACAATAGCCACAAATAATATAAAATACCTTGGGGTAACTCTAATTAAGCAAGTGAAAGACCTGTATAATAAGAACTTTAAGTCTCTGAAGAAAGAAATCAAAGAAGATATCAGAAAGTGGAAAGATCTCCCATGCTCATGGACAGGTAGACTCAACATAGTAAAAATGGCAATCTTACCAAAAGCAATCTAGAGATTCAGTGCAATCCCCATCAAAATCCAAAGACAATTCCTCATAGACTTGAAAAGAACAATATTTAACTTTATATGGAAAAACAAAAACCTAGGATACCTAAAAGAATCCTGTACAATAAAGCAACCTTTGGAGGCATCATAATCCCTGACCTTCAAGCTCTACTGTAGAGCTATAGTAATAAAAACAGCTTGGTACTCGCATACAAACCAACATACAGACAAATGGAATTGAATTAAAAACCCTGACACCTAAAATGTATGATTTTCAAAAAAGAAGCCAAAACTGTATCATAGAAAAAAGAAAGCATCTTCAACAAATGGTGCTAGCATAACTGGATGTCAACATGTAGAAGGCTGTAAACAGAACCCTATCTGTCGCCATGCACAAAACTCAAGTCCAAGTGGATCAAAGACCTCGACATAAACACAGTTACACTGAACTTGATAGAAGATAAAGTAGGAAGTAGTCTGGAATGAATTGGCACAGGAGACCACTACCTAAATATAGCACCAGTAGCACAGACACTGAGAGCGACAATTAATAAATGGCACTACCTAAAACTGAAAAGCTTTTGTAGAGCAAAGAACATGGCCAATAAGACAAGACAACAGCCTACAGAATGGGAAAAGATCTTCACCAACCCTACATCTGACAGAGGGCTGATCTCCAAAATATATAAAGAACTCAAAAAGCTAGACTTCAAAATACGGAACAATACAATTTAAAAATGGGCTACAGGGCTTAACAGATAATTCTCAATTGAAGAATCTCAAATGGCTGAAAGACATTTAAGGAATTGCTCAACATCTTTAATCATCAGGGAAATGCAAATCAAAACAACTATGTCAGAATGGCTAAGATCAAAAACAGTGAAGACAGCTTATGTTGGAGAGGATGTGGTGCAAGGGGAACACTCCTCCATTGTTGGTGAGAATGCAAAGTTGTACATCCACTCTGGAAATCAGTATGGTGGATTCTCAGAAAATTGGGAATAAGTCTTCCTCAAGACCCAGTTATACCACTCTTGGGCATATACACAAGGGATTCTCAATCTTACCACAAGGACACATGCTCAACTGTGTTCATATCAGCATTATTCATAATAGCAAGAACCTTGAAACAACCTAGATGCTCCTCAACTGATGAATGGATAAAGAAAATGTGGCACATACACACAATGGAGTACTACTCAGCAGTAAAAAACAATGATACCATGAAATTTGCAGGCAAATGGATGGACCTAGAAAATATCATCTTGAGTGAGGTAACCCAGATTCAGAAGGACAAACATAGTACGTACTCACTCATAAATGGAGACAAGATGTGAGGAAAGGGATGGCCAGACTGAAACCCACAACTGCCGAGAGGCTAGCTAAAAGGGAAAGACCCTAGGAGGGACACATGGATGATCCTGCAAATGAGAAGTGGATGAGATCTACATGAGTGGATGTGGGGTGGGTAGCAGAGGGTGAAGAGCAAGGATGAGAACATAGGGAAATGGGAGGGTCAATCTGGAACAGGGACAGAGTGGGAGGGCAAGGAGGAAGATAGCATTATAGATGAGAACATCATGGGAATAGGAAGAGGCAAGGTGCTAGGGAGGCTTCTCGGGAATCCACAAGGATGACCCCACCTTGATCTGCTGGCAGTGGTCCAGAGGGTGCCTAGACTGGTCTACTCTGGTGACCGGTCTAGTGAATAACCCAGCTGTCATCATAGAGCCTTTGTCCAGTGACTGATGGAGGCAGATGCAGAGATCCATGGCCAGGCACCAGGCTGAGCTCTGGGAATCCAATTGAGGAGAGGAGGGATTCTGCAGGTAAGGGCCGTCGAGTTCATGATGGGAGGACATGCAGAGATGACGAGCCACACTAGTGGAAGTCCATGAACTGTGGACTGGTGGCTTTGGAGCCACAATGGACTGGACTAGGCCCTCTGGATACGGAAGACAGTTGTTTGGCTTGAACTTTTTGGGGAGCACCCAGCCAGGGGGTGTCCCTGGTGCCTGTTGTGTGACACCTTGCACTGTCTTGGTGCAGTGGGAAGGGCCTTGGACTTGCCTAGACTCAGTGTGCCAGGTTCTGCTGACTCCCCATGGGAGACCTTGATTTGGGGGATGTGGGCATGCAGGGTGGCATGAAAGAGAGTGCTGGGGGATGGAGGAAGGAGAAAGGGGGATCTGTGGGTGGTATGTGGAGAGAGTAGAAAATTTCTTAATAAAGAAAAATGAAAAAAAAAAAGAAGTTCCTGAAATTAACGAAATGTACACCAGTTTTCCCCAAGTTTACACAAGCAGAGACAATTGCTATGGAGAAGAGACTCTGTCTGACTGGCTGAGACACCTGCAAGTTGGTCAGGGAAGTCCAGTCCAGGAATGTGGTTTCCTGTGCCATCACCAATACTGGGATGGGCTTTTTGGTAATGCAGCAGCCTTTGAGCCTTTCACACTCCTGTAAGTGACCCCAAATGAATTCCTGGGTTAAGGTAGAGTTGGATGAAATAACTTCTTTGGTTTGTTATGGTTGCTCTATCTTAGGTGAGTAGATGTTTCCTCACATCTGCCCAGGAAAATCCACAAAATACTTTTTGAGGTGAAAATTCTATTTTTGCATCAACCAAAGAATACAACAGAATATAACGACTTTGGCAATGCTGAGAAAGGATTAATGACATAGTTAACAAAATGAGTTGCAAACATAAGCAAAATCAGTGGAAAATTATTATAATAAAACATGATTCAGTTAACACAAAATTTGTCATACTTCCAAAAGTCTATCAACAAACATCCCTGTACTGGTAAACATGAAACAACCATTTAAATACGTGGAAGTAAACAACAGTGATGGAAGACTGATAGTCAAATAAAACAGAGATGAAGAGAAGTGAAATGGAGCCCCCAAATCAACTTTCACATAGCTTGTCACACGATAAATAGTAGCCTCTTCCCTTGCTTCTTTTAAATTTCCATTAGTAATTTTCTTACAAACATAGATTTTATTCTATATAAATTTTTGCATCAGGACATATATGTTACAGATTTCTTTGAATTTTCCTTAGTTTACTATTTGTATAATCATTTTCCCTATCCTCACCTCTATCTAACAGGAGAAGAATGCTGCCAGTTCGCATGATGGATACTCAGAGTTCTGCTAGGAGATCGTTCTCGCCTTACTTTGTTGCAGCACATGTAATAAATGATTCTGCCTTTTTCTCCAAGAGGGTAAATGAACCCCTGTCTGAATTTCACACACTACATGAAACAGCTCTGCTCATCATCAGCTTTTTATTTCAAACTAGGAATGGTAAGCACTAGAATAAGAGGCCTTCACAAATATCCCGAATTATGACTGAAGCCAGACAGAGTCATGATGCATCAGGAAAATGGGGTGATATTGGGGCCCCACTTAGACCTGATGCTCCACATCCATGCATATGCAGGTGGCCCTACATGGACCCCATGGGTTATATATTTTTTTAAAAGGCATGGAGTTGGGAGAGAAAAGTGGTGTTGCAGGAAAGGGAGAAATTGGAAGGAAGACCTGTGGGTGGATTTGATCAAAACACAGCATATGAATGTATGGATATTAAATTAAAATGAAAACACAAAATGGATAGAAAATCAGAGTGAACCCTTGGGTCACAGTGTCCACTGTATGACACCACATCTGACTTGGAGTGTTGCAACTCAGAATTATAAATCCGATGACATTCAGACTTGCCAAGAACCAATCCAGTTTCCACAAGTGTTCACAGTACACTCTTCCCTGCCAAGATCCCAGCCCATTTCCACAGGTGCTCACAGTCAACCTCTCCCAGTCTCTTCTATGGAAAGTTGTGTCTGAATTCACAATTATCCTTGCTGTGCAGTGATGACAGAGAGTAACTCAGAGAGCAGATCCCCACTCCAACTTCCAA